AATGAGTGTTACTACGACTATTAACAAGTCTACTTTAAGAATGTATCTTATATTTTTTTGAAAGGTGTCAAATAACTATGTAGAAAGAAGGCCTCTTTTAGATAGTTTGAGCTTTTCTTTCTTGGGGACAGGGCTTGGACTAGGCCAGCATTTCCCAAAGAGTGTTTCATAGAATACTGGAACAGGATTGTAATAGATTGCTACTGTAATAGGTTCCTTGGGACTGGGTTTCTTCACTGAAGAACTTCCCAAAACATCTGTTTACCAGAGTGCACTGAGAATCTCCTAGTGGCAGATAAAGTACATGGTTTTCCCAAGCATATTTGACCACTAACCCCTTCTATAAGGAGCACCTCACAGGCCACCAGTAGCGGGAAGTGTTTGAGTACGTATTTTTATAGTTCCCATAATTGACTGTTTTCCTGAGGTAGCCATTCTTGCCTGTACAGAAAAGGGAACTGGCCTTTTATCATGTTTTAAGATTGTGGACGCCATCTAGTGTTCATGCATTGTCTACACACGTGGCTTGGAAACCTGAAGTTGGAGGTTACTGAAGCTCCATTGTAGGGATTTATCCCAAACCTCCCCACTCCCCATAAAGAAATCATCACCGTAGGCTACATTTCATACACGTATTGTGAGTGATCTCTTCCCTCTAATTTCTCCTTTCTGTATTCTATTTCTCAGGGATTTGTTGTAGAAAGAAATCCAATAATTGAACCATCTTCCTGAGGTATTAGTGGAGGAGAATTTAGGGCATTCAGCATGCAGTCATATTAACTAGTGCAAGAGGCTCCTCAGGCATTCTTCCTGCCGAGAAGAAGATAGAAATGCTTCTGTTATTATTTGTGTCAATGTTTTGTTATGAAAAAATGTGGAACAGAGCACATAGAAGCAATACCCCTAGAAAGAGGTTCTTTCTTGTCTTTCCAAGCAATTTTAGTTTATTCATTCTTCAAGAGTCTAAAAAAGGTAGCCCCAGCCAACTTGCTAACCCCAAAGCTCACTCTTGATGGGCTCTAAGTATTTAGCTGTGTTCCACGATACATGGTTGGAAATGTGTGTTGCCAGAAGTGAAATGCTGCAGCTGTTGAGCTGAA